GAGGGGCTACTATATTTGGGCAAAAATGGCCGCTCCCAGACTCAGTGATAGCAACGAAAGTTATTATTTTATATTATAATAACTTTATAATATAAAGCTATGCTATTCCACACCACAAGGCAAGAGGGACAATCAGGAACTAGCTGTGGGTCTAGATACAGTCGATACGGAGGGACATGAGGGCCAAAAAGAGCGGGGATCCAGGTGGAAAAAGGGTCCCAGCGTTCCCGCGCACCTCGCTATTCTAGCTGCTCCATCTTCATGAGTCGTTTTCCACATTGGCGGTGATAAAAACAAAACAAGCCGGTAAGGTAGCAAACAGGAAATACGCATAGAGTAGAGCGGATGTAGATTTGACCAATCAGAGGCCTCCTGTCTGTGGTCACCTACAATTTTGGAGAGGTGCAGCAGAGTGTCTGCGGTACGCGCGGGGGTGCGTCTGGGTAAACTGCGACACACATGCAGACAACCTGGTTTCTGAGTATAAATCAGCCTTTATTGTTCTACTTCACCTTTCCCCCCAAACACCAGACGTCATTTAAATGTTTTTAGGCTAAATCTGGTCGGTCCGTCATAGGCTTGATTTAGTCATGAAATAGTTGTTAAAAATTGGGCTGCATTGGTCGGTCTGATTTTGTCCCACTTTTGTCCAATAGTAGTCATTGCATGGAAAAACCTCTGGAACTCCAGTTTTTAACAGCTTTTCACTTTTCACTTTTCAACCAAATGAAGCCGTTTGGAGGTAAATCATGTCATCTTTTCGTTGTCTTTTCAACCAATTTTTGCTTGGTGGCTTGAATCTCCTCCTCAGGGATTGGCGTCAAGCCCCAAGGAAGACCCAGGAATCAGAACTTCTAGATATTCTCCCTTGACCTGATTCAACCTGCTATAAATTTTCCTTGTAAGTTTTTGCCTGTGGGTTAAGCATTTATATGCCAACATGACAGATATAGACCCTGATGAAAAGGCCCAGCATGATTTACCTTAAGACTTTTTCTCATAATTCCGGCACCTCCTGCTTTCCAATCCATTCCACAAATAATGCCCTTTCACCAAATATTTACACCCTTTCCAGTAGGGGTGGAACGGTTCACAAAATCCACGGTTCGGTTCGGTTCACGGTTTCGTGGTCACGGCTTTCGGTTCGGTTCAGGGTTTCGTGGTCACGGTTTTCGGTTCGGTTCACGGTTTCGTGGTCACGGCTTTCGGTTCGGTTCAGGGTTTCGTGGTCACGGTTTTCGGTTCGGTTCACGGTTTCGTGGTCACGGCTTTCGGTTCGGTTCAGGGTTTCGTGGTCACGGTTTTCG